AAATCCACAAAAATTATTCCCTCAACCGAAGCCGTTTTGATATTCTAAAACTACGTGAAGTTTCCTATCAGATGATATCAAGCTTGCTAGCAAAACATTTCATCTTTGGAACGAAATTTCCGGTTGAAAAAAACGAAAGTACTTATGTGCCAACCCAATACTTCACCACAAACGTCGGAACGCGTGTAAGAATGGTTGGGTTTCGCGCGGCTTGACCATTCTCCAGAAACCAAGTGTTGTAACGGGCAAGCGACAGGAATTGGTGGGAAACGGCCTGGCTATAAGGCGCCAAACCCAGTCTTCTCTGACACGCTCCATCTGCATACAAAACGACTATATCCCCGACTTAATGAAACCACTTTCATACCGATACTTTGAAATATCTTCGCACATTTGGTGGGATCGATAATATTATTCCTTTTCAGGTAGTCCGCTATAACCGCAAAGATGTTTTTTGATATCAATTGCGCAATAAAGGGAGTCATAGAGTAGTATCCGTTCTACAATTATGAAGAACAGGTCACTTTTCATTGAGTTGGCTCTTAATAGAATTTTACAAACTTAAGTTTTATTCCGCTTTTAGCAAAAGAGACGTTGAGACAGAATCTTTATTCGGCCTGACTTTTCGATCTTTCGTCTTCTTTAGCCCGCGCTGTGTTCATCGAGCGGATGGCCCCGTACACTAGCGTGCAGACTTGAAGACAACAAACTCACCTCCAATGAAGATCCTTGTATTGTACGAGATGAATGAGTTTGCAGCTGCAGAAGTGGTGGCACTTCTAAACACAGAAAAGCGCGATCACGGAGGGGGTGGTGATATCCAGGAACCGTCTACGACACCGCCTATGCTATCCCCGAAGTACAGTACTTGCATTGACACCAAAATCTCGCAGTGAACACACAGTCACAAGTAGAGGACAACTCAAAACGAGAGGGCGCAGACAAGTAGAGCGTCCGGCTTTGATTAGGCGTGAGGCTAGCCACACGGCAGCGTACTCATGGTCGGGAAACGGCCCCCCGGGCATCACTGGCCTCCACTTCGCTCCCGTGCATCTTTGATCGAAGAATGTGGCACACCTACTGCTGGGGAGGCGGACAAGACAATCGTAGTTCGAATCGACAAGACAATCGTCATCGCGCGGGACGCGGAAAATTGCAGGTGTGCATGAGTTTATTAGTTGAAGCAGCTAAACTTATACGAATCCAAATAG